CTCTCTCTCTCTCTCTCTCTCTCTCTCTCTCTCTTCCTCTCTCACACACACACTCGAAGTGCTAATGAGACAGACACGAGATGATGGAGTGGAAAATGGAATCGACTCTCTCTGGAATGCTTCATTTTTAACCTGGTCTTTCTTCTCCCTTACTTTGTCTCTCTCTCTCTCTCTCTCTCTCTATTTGTTTCTTTCTTTTTCTTTCTCGATGGAAACGGACGTGATACGCAAGAGACAGGAAACTGGGCCGCCGACGTTTCGTTCGCCAAGGTCGAGCCCCGAGAGGTTACGATTTAACATTACGCACCGTGAGGGAGACCGAATAAAACCAAGATGTTCTCGATTTAGAAGAGGGAGAATTTTCACGCGACGTGCTACCAATCGCGAAAAGAAAATTTACTCTCGGCCGAAATCATCGTCGGAGAGGAGTCTCTCTTTAATTAATAACACTCCCACTAAATATCTCTCGAACGACCCAACGAACTTCGTCGATGATGCAAGAAAATCAAGCTGGACACTCCGCTCTGATTTATTCGCTCGCTTTCCAATCGGTATGCAAATCGATTTTACAACACGCTCGTTACACGCGCGCCCGCTCGCCAACGAGTTCTCTAAAAAATATTCGTATTTCCGCTGAACAAACGCTCAGGTGAACGCTCAGGTTCATTGACATTTATCAAACCTCAGCGGAATGAACTGTATTTGCATAGAGCGTTGGATACCAATGAAACCTTCACTCGTGGCCCGCGCCATGACCGGCTTCAGCGGCTGTCGCGGAACATAGTATCTTCGGTTTCTTTGATCGACATCTTCACGCGTGTTCCGGTATCAATCACGGGCGTGTTTATCACCGGCAAACCTTCTCTTTATCTCGATCGCGTACCCAAGCCCACGTGTTGCCGCACGCTTTATAACCGCTTAACACCTGTAATCATGCAAATAACAGGGCACGCATTAAAATGCAACTATATCGCTATCGACCGTGATAATCGCGGCAACTTAATCGGGACTTTCCGGTGGTTGTCGCGCCGTCTACAGCCAATTATCGATCGTTTCTCAATGCCGGAACGCGTAAAAGTGCCAACGCAAGGGTCCCGGGCGATTGATCATCGTTCCGGCCGCGACAACCGCGCGTACTCCGGATCGATACACCGGCGACTCGCGGAAAGTGAAAATCGCTCGATGGAAACGCGCCACGACGGGATTATGTACGTGCGCGCGTGTACGCGTAACTTGCGCTCCGGCAAATCGGGGCCAGATCCGATATCGTAACCCGGTGACCGATCGATTCGCCGAGGGGTTTCGTTTCTGAAATTTCGTCGGCCGTCTGCCGCCGTGCCGCGAATGCAAATGAAATGTTGCATATTTATGGAAGCCACGTATGGAAGATACGTATATACGGCCGCTCGTATTCGAGTCAACGATCTTCGGAATTAATTTAAGAGAGCGGTTTCTATTCGACTGTCGTCGATACTGGAGATGCTGGTCGTTCAAACGATGAAATTGAAATTTG